TTATCATGGATGGTACGTGGTACCCAATTTCTGACGCAGGTTTTCCACGTACTCGTTCTCCACAGTTTTTTTCCTGACCGAGTCTTGTAGCAAATTTTCGTCGTCGTCATGCAGTCTTCCCAACCATCTGGCGACTTGGCCTTTTGGGCTCTTAAATTGCATCTACCATCGTAATGTGGAATGGTTCGTCCTTACAAGAAACTGGCCATACAGATACTTAGGGAAATGTTAGATTGACTTAATTTCGACTAGTTCCCCTCGATCCACACAGTGATGACGTTCCGGTTTAGAGAAGACTTTACGGAAATACCCGGCCACTATCACTCCAGCCTACGAAACCAAATGACTAAAATATTTGACTTCTTTTTGGAAAAGGTTGCACTAGCACTGCGCAGAACCTCATAAACACGTCTTCGAGATTCTGGAGATGCTCTTCGAACGTTAAACCAACCATAATTACATCGTCCAAATTTACAAGGCACGTCTTCCAGGATAAACCTCTTAAGACCATTTCATTAATCTTTCAAACGTTGCGGTGATGTTGCACAACCCAAAGGGCATGACAGTAAATTGCCATACTCGCAATGCTCAGAATCCAAACCACTTAGTACTTAGTGCCATTTCCAAAAGTTGTGCTTAAAGGATGTTGCAGCGCCCTATCGCAATAATGGGTCAAGATCGAATTGAATATGTTTGCTGGAGCTTTAACTAGCGGAACTTACCTATGTGTGTATGTATCGTTTACTTTTACTCTGACCCGTTAAAAAGGTCGGCGTTGAGTCACTCTGAAATTATTTCCTGTTTTTTTTTTGTAATTTTGGTGATAATCCACGCTAACATTACATTAAGATTATTGCGCTATCAATAAAACTCCTGCTAATTAAGCAATCTTAAATTAGATATACAGATGCTATATATGTACGATTAAAGGCTTTTAGCTCAACTATTAATAAAGTTATAAAACCACCTCCAACTAAAAAAAACAGGTTTATTGAGATGGCCCTTAATCTTATACACATTAAGCATTTAAGTAATTAAAATGTCATATTACCTTAGAAGACAATGTTTTGGTTATATTGGCGCATGTTCACCCCTGCCCCAATTAACCAATATATGCCCAAACTTTAGAACCACGTTGTTATCACCTAACACTATGTGGAAATTATAAAAGCACTAAACCTTCCCCATACTTCATTTAATTGTTTCAGATTTTAAATTCAGACATTATGTGACAGCACAGCGACTATAGTTTCGACCCTGAGGTCATTATCAAGCTTCAGTTTGAAGGAACATATAAAAGTAGTTGAAAATTACATATTAATTGGTAACATTTGGTTGATAATATGGGGAAAAATTACTTATTCGAACATGGAAACAATTACAATTACAATATTAACAAATTTTTAACTTTGCTTGTCAAGATGGCTGCGTCCATCTCGTTCAATTTTAATTTAACAATTGTTTATAAAATGTGAGGGCAAAAAAGCCTTAAATTTGTTAATATTGTAATTGTAATTGTTTCCATGTTCGAATAAGTAATTTTTCCCCATATTATCAACCAAATGTTACCAATTAATATGTAATTTTCAACTACTTTTATATGTTCCTTCAAACTGAAGCTTGATAATGACCTCAGGGTCGAAACTATAGTCGCTGTGCTGTCACATAATGTCTGAATTTAAAATCTGAAACAATTAAATGAAGTATGGGGAAGGTTTAGTGCTTTTATAATTTCCACTTAGTCAATTTCACCCCGTTTTGAGTCGTTATAAGATGGATAGCTACCAATTACCTAACACTATCCCGCGCCAAAGTTTGAGGGTGCTAGCCCAAAAACTTCGGTGCACCAACGCAGTGCAAAGTATGTGGCATTTTTTAATTACAGCATTGTTGGAAATTTTGAATGAATGTACAAATGGATACAAGATGTAGCTACCTTTGACATTTCCTTCATATATTCCAGCGTTATCGATGAATTCGTAAGATGCTACCTATTCATAAGTATATGGCCATGGCCAACAACTTTTGATATTCTTTGTAATAGGCTTTACTAGATTTTTAGGTAGTGACTTTTCTTCTGCTTCTGTAACAAACCACTGAATGGACGGTCTATTATCTTTTTCAACCAAGTTCATACAGACGGTGATTTTAATAAACAAAGTGACATTTCCATGGCAATCATGAAATTTCGAATAAGAAATGTATCCGAGTATAAAATCGGTATTATTTTATTTTATTTCATTTATTTTTAAATTATATTGCAGGTATAATAAAAAAAATACGCGTGTATATTGGTCTCTAACGTTGATATTGTCAATCGGTATAGTACCTACAGGTAACAGCGTAAGAGATTTATTTTCTGTGAAGCCAAAGTAACAATATTCAAATTAATTAATATGAGAGCCAGATCTTTATTTGTTGTAAGAAGTTATTTTGGTTGCATAAAATTAGGCGCCCTTCAGAAGGATTTTGTCATTTAAAAGTACACATAGGAAAAAATAACGCATGTAAATCCCTATGTCTACTGCTTATTCTTAATAATTACTATTGTATATGTTTCTTTGTTCTCCTAGTTATTGTGTGTTAGTGACTTTACTATCCACCTGTGTAAACAATACCTTGTGCGTTCATTCAATTTCGCTGTTCGGGTAACAGTGCTATGTTTCGTGGTTCTCTTTTTGAACATGTTGCCAAAAACTTCTTCAGTGATACGACGGTGACCTTGATACCTTGCTGTAGGTATAATCTTCGCTTTTCGGAAACCGTCCTGGCGGATGATTTAGTTTAAAACGTGCGACACACTCTACGATTATGACTGCCGCAGATTTGGCGTCTGAGGCTGTCAGTGAACGAATGCTAGTATCCCACTATTTTCACTTATATTTATACGTGCCGTACTTTATCTACTGTCATTAATTTCCGCTTTAGTTTGCGAATTTGTACTATGCGATCAAAAATGAGTTGCTGTCGAGTCACCACTTAACTTGAACTTCCAAAGGCGACTCGACAGCAACTCATTTTTGATCGCCCGTTATATAAAGTTAACGCAACTCTTTTAGCAGCTTTTTGCATTCCGAGTATAATGCTGTGTTTATTTCGTCTGGCAGGATGAAATTTTCGGACATCCTAATTCCTTCTAGTGTAATTAACTTTTGTAATTAAATTTGATTAATTTGGCGTTGGTCTATGTGACGGCACGGAGATTATTATGTCATACGAGAAAGCGATCAAGGTTGTTTTTGTTTTATTTTATTTAACGTAGACATTTCTGGGAATTTTGTTTGGTCTTTAACTGTTATCAAATGTAAATGCTTAATTTAATTGACAGGTGGATGTGATTTAGCGCCTTTTCTGTGTAGTTAAGAGATGAAATTTTTTTCCCTAGAATTTAAGTCTCTTAATGTCTGATACCAAATTGATTTATAAACATTTTCGGAAGAAGGGTTTCGCCGTATATAGGACGTGAAGAAAGAAAGCGTCGCTTTTAGCCACAATCTACGAGGAACTACGTTTCGTTGAAGTTTTTAAAATCGGCTTTATGCCAAGTTTAGGGCCAAAGCGCAGCCAAATTAATTCAACTCTTTGCTACGTCAGCACCGAGTTACGTTTTGTAGAAGTATTTATTCGCTTATTGCGAATTACATCGTTGAATTACGGCGAGTTAGTATTCATTTTCAGCCACAGCCAGTATTGAAAGTTTTCATCCAATGTGAGTTTGAAGTTCGACGAAGTTTCGTTTGCGTAGCCGGAAGCCGAATTCGCGGCTAGTTTTTGATCTACGTTTTGACCATCAAAGGTGCTGCAAGGAGAGGTGTTTGTCGGCGCCCCTATAAGTGTGTTAATTAAAAATTGTAATTGTGTACGGACTGTGTACGGATACCTTTTATTTGGATTACAATTCCCGGACAAGTAATGAAAGTAGTTAAGTCTTAATAATTTTAGTCTATTTGTAATAAGTGTTTGTGTTTGTGTACCATTTTACTTTTGTGTGTTACGATTAAATCGCACTTTTGTAATTCTCACATAAAATTTTCGTGTATTTCATTCACATTCACAACATTTACAGTTCAGCTTGGAGTTTAAGGTATTTGGTCTGACCCACAATCTGTTAGAAGTTAACAGGTAAACTGAGAGCAGAGTCGAAACTCTCCTCTGTGCTAGGGAGAAGTTCTGTGCCGTGATAATAAATAAAGGCAAAGAGCTAGCTCGGTTTTTGTTGTGGTGTTTTGTGTACGGTCTTTCTGGTCTACGGACCAGTGCACACAGCATTCTTAATTGGCGCCCAACGTGGGGCACACAGCATTCTTTTGTGGCGTCCAACGTGGGGCACACAGCAATACGTAAAGCAGTATTTATTGTCCTATTCTATTCACATATGTATTAAAATTGGATTTCTCACCGCGCTTCTAATTCCCTTTTAGTTTCCTTACGGTTAAATAAAACAACTTGGTTCATAAGAAATGAAACAGTTAATTTCCTTGCAATGCGTACCTAAAACATACCTACACATAGTGACATACATTCGTACGCTCAAGGTTTCATTCGTATCTAAATTTAGATCCTGCCTTCTTTCAAATTACTGTACCTATAGGGAAACCCCGTTAGAATCTTAATTAGCAAAAATTTTATGAAAGTCATTTCAACAAGATAAAATTTCACGCTCCATTTATGATTTTTTACTCATTAATTGATGTTTACTAATGCCTTATAAAGGTAAATAGAATATGGCAGAAGTGTTCTAAATTTGCACAGTGTACACAAATACACATGAATAACAAAGTTTAATGACGCCAATTAAACGGTTGGTAGAGTCCCTTCCCTAAACACTTCCAACGAAAATTTGGCATTGTGTTTTCATTTTCCAACTAGGTGGTCGTGAACACAAAATTTCAAAAATTAATACTAAAACTAGGTGGTCGTGAACACAAAATTTCAAAAATTAATACTAAAAACTGTTCTTTCATTATAATAAAAAATAAAATTACAATAATAAACTACAATATGTAATGAACACGAATGGGTGTAACTTAACGTACTATCATGAGCAATCTTCGCCATTCAATATGGCTTGTATTTCTTGTAAAGTCTTCCCCGACGTTTCTGGCAGCAAAAAGTAAACAAAAAAGAATGCCAAAGTACAAAAACCGGAAAACAACCAAAACGATCCGTGAATTCCCATTGTCTCAGTCACGGTGCCGAAACTATTCGTAATAATAAACGCCAGAAGCCAACAGATCGACGCCGCTATTGTGGAAGCAAACGATTTAACGTTAGCTGGAAACAGTTCGCCCACTACGGCCCACGGTAACGGACCGAATCCCAAACAGTACGAAATGTTGTAACAAATCAAACTTGCGACGGGCAACCAGAAAAGGTGATCTTTGGCAATTGGGCTATTTCGGATGTAAAAGTATAACCCCAGAAGAGCCATAGCGAACGCCATGCCTAAAGCGGATGAGATGAGTATGAATCGTTTTCCTGTCCGCTCGACAAAAAGAGGAGTGAAAAGGCCAGCCAATACCTGAACTACACCGATTATTATTGCCGATATTTCTGATGGAATCGTAGTGCCTGCTAAGAGGAAAATAGTTTGCGTGTAGAATACAACGATGTTTATCCCACAGAGCTGCTGGAAGCTGACCAATCCAACTGATATCATCATTGCTCGTAATAAACCTTTCGATCTAAATAGATCTGTATATCTACCCTTATTTCGCATAGATACTTCGACATTTGTCTTAATTTCTGACAATTCTTTTTGCACCCCTCGACAAGATTTCTGACGAAACTTCATTAAAGCTTTTGCTGCTCCTGCTTCATCGTTGCGCGCAATTAGGTAATAGGGGCTGTCTGGAATGAGGAGAAGAAAAGTGAGGACAAAGAGGAGCGAAGGCATCAGGCAAATTATGTTGAAAGCGGCTAGTGAAACATACGGTCCGATACAATAGGAGAATAAGATTCCCAGAGTGATAAAAAGGGAAAACAGTGATCCGAGCGCCCCTCTGTTGCAGTCTTCGCCGATTTCGGCGACATATATCGGCAAAATGGTAAAGACGCCTCCCAGTGCTAATCCGCACAGAAAGCGTACAATGTAGAATAAATTGATGTCGTGCGCAAATACTGCCATCGCGAATGCTGTCGTGAACGGTAAGCTTGAGATTAGAATTGACTTCTTTCGCCCGATTCGATCCAAGAACAGCCCCGCGGCAAGCGGTCCCAGGACGGCACCAAGTGGTAAAAGTGAACCCAGCAGCGATTGTTGATGTATTGTTATGGGGTGGGGCAGAGGGTTGTTTTCTGGCTCAATTTCTCCATTTAGTTTTGGAATGACTGGCGAAGTCCACCCTAAAACCACCCCGCTGGAGAAGGAAGTTAGGTTTGCTGAAATAAAGACAAAGCGACTTAACGTGATATATTTTGTAAGTAGGGGGATAGACAAACGAAAAGTTTAAAGAAACTTACCTAGACACACAGCGAGGTATAAAAAGAATCCCTTTCTTTGTTCACCTTCACCCACGTCATTGAGATTAATTTTCACATTTTCACTTATGTTTTCCGATTGATACCGTGAGCACGAGTGATCGTGTACCGGAACTTGTTTATACTTGACGTCGTCCATTTTAATGAGGGCCTAATTAATGATTGTATCCTTACTAAAAAAAAAGGTCTTGCTTTCTGCAAGATGCAAACGGAAATATTTTAATTGCCAGTTCGGTTTCGAATAATAAAGCGTGCTTAAGGTAGGTGTGGCATGTAAATATTGCTCGAACTCAAACTGTTATCTATCATAGTACCAAAGAATATACTTAATTTGCTCTTTAATAGAACTTTATGAAGGTATATTAGAAGAGTAAATAAAAGTTTTGACTTATTCCACGTACCTTTCCTACTTTCATACCTACGTTTATCGAGGGGATACTAATTATCAAAAGTGATAATTTATAGTGCTTTTACCAGTTTAGGAGCTAGATAGGAGATAAATGATTATTTGGATAGTCTGTAATTACACGAGGCCTTTATGAAAATAGGGAAGCAGTCACAGTCAGTTTTTATTCATTCTTTATACGTATATAGTACAGTGCTCCGTGGCAGAAATTTTGACTTCCGGGGGGGGGGGGGGGTGTCACAAGCTGAAATTCACAAAAAATGAAAGGTCATGATATACTATTGACGGGGGGTTATTAGTCAATGGATATACCGATTCTAAATGTCAAGGTCGTCCAAAATCGGTCCATGCATTAGGGCACAAAATCCGAAAAACGAGTTAAGCACATGTACGGAAAGAAGAAAAAATTATCAAAGTCCTCGTGTGAGATCGAAGGGACTTCAGCGCATTTTTGTGTGGAAGATCACTATTCTATTAGCCACTTTTGACTCAACCATCATTAAAAGATCTTGTCAAAGACTACTACATTCACTTTGTCGGTTACCCGCTTCCCACTTTCCGCGTGCACCCGCAATTCGTGTTTAAAGTTTGACTCCACCATCAGTAAAATCTTGTCGGGGGCTACCACATTCCCTTTGACGGTACCCACCTTCGACGTCCCGTTCACCCGTTTTTAAAATTATGGTTTGGTCTCTTTTTGAGTTTCCATTTATTGATTTACCTATGTAATTAATAATTATCTGTATCAATTATATTGGCAAAACTTTGTTATACCCGTGTCGAGAACATACCTATGATGTAAGAGCGAAATGGAGCTACAGGAAATGTAGAGATAGATTGTATTCACCGGAGTGAAAGCGCGTCGCTTGTAAGTGAGTAAAAAGTTCGTTGTTTTACTTTTAATTAGATATTTTGGTTACTATTGCAGATAAAATTACAATTCTCAGTGCAATGTAAAGATAAACGATGAACGAAACTTTATTTAAGAGTAAAACTTTTTGATTTAGGTGTCCGTTTATTAAATACGATGTAAACGCAAAAGTTGCTCAAAATTTGCCTCCACCCCATCAATAACCAAGGAACAACTTAGACAACAGAGGCAAGGGGCCCTCTCCCTCTCCCAATGACCAGTGTACCTGGAACTATTCGCTAACAAGCGGGATGACGGGGAGCTAACCGACCGCTTTGTGTGCATCAAACGTGCCATACTTGCACAATTCACGCGTAACCATACTGTTACCACACAACTGGACATGGTTTACGCGCTGCTACGTCACCACGTTAGGAAACGAGGGCCGATGTCAAGGTTCACAACCTTGAAAGAACTTCTCGATGAGGACCTCCGAACTGACCATGGTGGACATAGACTCCAACGGAACTAAGAAGGAATTCGCAAATGAGAAGAAGAAGCAACGCTGTTGCTTTTGCAATTTCCGAGTTCACGATGTCAGCGTATGTCGAATGAAGAAGGAACAGGTGTCAAAACCCAAAACTCCACCGAGGCAAACACCGTCCTGCGCTGCTATGACTGCGGCAAACCGGGAGTCCTACGTCGAGACTGCAAGGATTGCAACAGCACTCGGAAGATTAGGGCATCCCAAGATGTCAGTTTCTGCTCTCCGACTGCGAAATTTATAGCGATTTAATGGACGGTGTATTATCTTTTTCAACAGAAATCGTTTTATTCACAGAGACGATGATTTTTATAAGCAAACGTCAAGTGACATTTCCATGGCAATCGTGAAATTACGAAACACAGCCCACTTAATTAGACATGAGTATTCAAGTATAACGTCAATATGATTTCATTGTATTTCCTATTTTTAAATTATACTGCAGGTATAATAAAAAAATACTAGGTATAGGATACACGTGTATAATTTGTCTTTAAAGTACTTGCAACATTAAAGGCACTCCGCTTCGCGTCGTGCCATTAAACCCGTTGCGCGTGCTTTAAAGAGTTCCTAAATGGCAGTAGTTTCCCTTCCCCTAAAGTTTAAAATGGAAATGCACCCTAAATTTATCACAATGACATTAATTACTTTCACCGTAACACATACCTTTACCAATTACACGTGTGGTACCGCAGCAAACAATGCAAACCAACACTCGACAACATCGGAGATGTTGGATGATCCATGTAAAGTAATATTTGGATACCTATCCATCTTATTGTGCACACAGAAACTGTAACACTAGAAGTACTACCAACAATAATTCAAAAAAATTTCCCGCAGAGTGAAGTTTATGTTGCACAATAATTGATTTATCGACTTTCATATTTTTTTCTGATAATGTAGTTACATTATGTTTGCAATATAATATGCAGAACAGGTGCGCTTACCATTTGGCATTATAGTTTGTGGCATTATTTCGCTCCACTACAGGGGACAAGCCGACTGTCCGGTCGGCGTCGATAGCAGCCAAGCAAGTAGTGTGCTGATAGGCGGACCGCGGACACGCACGGGCTGCATATAGAAATATCATTTACTCGAATACGGTAATTCCTATCACTAAAATCAGCTACAATTTGTACGATACATGTATAGAGATTCCTCAAATAATAAAAAAGTTTCTCGCAGAGTGAAGTTTACGCTTCTCAATAATCGATTTATGGGTGTTTGATGACAATTATGGTAATGCAGGTATATCATGTTTGCGATATAATGGGCATAAGTAGTTAGAAGCACTTACTATTTGGCATTATAGAACTGAAACAATTATAACAATATCTCGTGCGGGAGCCGAGATATTCCGGGGTAAATCTCTAAAACCATAAATTTTTATTAAGCCACTCTTTTGAGTGGTTTTTGGACTATAAAAACTGTCATTACCACCGGAAAATGCCGTAAAACACCATTTCGGATGCAGATTTACAATATCTCCATACTCTACTAGCTCTGATCTTGTTATACCTTCAAACAATTTTTTTCCATTTCTAGACGACTTTTTGCCCGATGTCGCTCCACTACAAAGTCAAAGTGTGAGATCGAAGGGACTTCGGCGCCATTTTTGTGTTGAAGATCAGTATTCTATTAGCCATTTTCTATTCCATCATCAGTAAGATGTTGTCGGGGGCTGCCATATTCCCCTAGATATTCCCTTTGACGGTACTCACTCTCGACGTCCCGTTCACCGGCAATTCGCGTTTGAAGTTTTTACAAATAAATTTAAAAAAATGCGCTAAAAAGATGAATATTAAATCGATTAAGCTCAACTTTTGGTAACGTGTATTATATCGCTATACCCTGAATCTGATGCAATTCGGTCGAGATGACAAAAGGGCCTTCTTTACTTTTGGCCTACAATGCCAAATCACGAACCCCTGAGAAATTGCACCGTAAATCGGTCCGTTGGTTCTCTTTTAAATCGATGGACAATAATTGAAGCCATCGGGCGAGCGATCGGACGATTGAGAATTGAGAAAGCATAAGCGTCTCGCGTAACAACTCGACGCTAAAGAAGAAGTGTTTGTAAAGCAGGCCTTCCACGTGCATTCATTTCATCGAACTTGGAGTGTACACTCCTCCAAACAGACCAAGTTCGAACGTGGAAGGGGTCATCGCGCAAAGTTTGCATAGTGCGGAGCGAAGAGTTTTCCAATCCTAATATCTTGGCGCGGAGCGTTGCTGGGCGCGCGCGTGGATGTGGTTGTCGCTCCTGGAGTTAAGACATAAGTGAGATAGATTTACATATTGTAGTAGGGGAACGTGGGGCAAAGTGGACCCTGGGGGCAAAGTGAAACTTACAAATAATTTTGAAGCTACTGGCTCCATCTCTGAGAGACTCGGCTAAGAACAATTAAATTCATCAGTCTAACTCTCTGTAAAGTTATTTTTTAACACTTCCATTAGGTAACCTCAAAATTAGTGAAAACTTATTTTCTGTGCATCCGTTGTAATAATACCTGGTAAGTAAATAACCTGTAACTTAAACTAGCATATCAAAAAATGGTTTCAAATCTAGTTTGCCTGTTTGTGTTATCATATGACATAAAACTTATGATCATACTTTGACATATAAATACAATTCAATATTAGTTTTTTATATTTAACCTATTAGATGCATGTGGGGCAAAATGAAATTTATTAATGGGGGCAAAGTGGAACAGATCCATGTGGGGCAAAATGAAATTTATTAATGGGGGCAAAGTGGAATGGTCCATATTTATAGGTGTATACATCTTGTATTTTAGAATAATGGTTCGAAAATATAATCGAAAGACCACCCAACAGAGTTGGAGTGAAGAGTCGATGAAAAGGGCTATAGAGGAGGTACTCGGAGGAAGTTTAACAGTCAAAAGTGCAGCGGCAGAATATAATGTGCCAAAATCGACCCTATTTAGAAGAGCAAAAAAAGGCAATGAAGAAAATGCCTCAACAGCTGCCAAAAAGGGATTAGGTCGTTTTAGAACTGTATTCAATGTGCAGCAAGAAGGGGAAATCTTAGAATATATTTTATTGATGGAAAAGAGACTCTTTGGTCTGAGTCAAATGGATTTGCGTTCACTTGCTTATCAATTCGCAGTAAGGAATGGTAAAATAGGAATATTAAATAGCTCTTATTTTAAGATTTACCAAAATTTTGCAGGTATTCCTAATAACTTCGATCAAAAATCAGGTTTGGCAGGACGTGACTGGATTCAGGGATTTTTGAAGAGACATCCACGACTATCCATGCGCTTACCAGAAAAAACGTCAGCTGCACGGGCATCAGCTTTCAATAGGCCTAACGTAACTAAATTTTTCGAACTCCTCGGAGAATTAATGGACAGGTACAAATTCTCAGCTAGTCATATCTACAATTGTGATGAGACAGGTATATCTACTGTACCGAACAAACCTGGCAAAATTATATCCCTGAAAGGGAAGAAACAGGTCGGAATATTATCTTCAGCAGAAAGGGGTACCCTTATTACTGTCGAAATATGTTACAATGCAGCTGGATTTTACATCCCACCACTGCTGATATTTCCCAGAGTGCGAAGAAATCCTCTTTTCGAAAAAGGTTTGCCTCCCGAGTCTCTTGTCGAGTGTCACCCAACAGGTTGGATGCAGTCACACATTTTTGCTCCAACTTGGTTTAACCATTTTCTTAAATACTCAAAACCGACAAAGGAGGAACCTGTTCTTCTCATCTTAGACGGTCACTCTACTCACACTAAAAACCTAGAACTGGTTCAAATGTCTAAAGAAAATAATGTGCACATCCTTGTAATTCCACCACACACTTCCCATCGGATGCAACCATTGGATGTGTCGTTTATGTTTCCACTGAGTTCGTATTATGGCCAGGAATGTAAAAATGGGTTGCGTAACAATCCTGGAAAGGTGGTTACAATACACGACAGTGGAGAATTATTTGGAAGAGCGTATCAACGAGCTGCAACCATACAAAATGCATTGAGTGGATTCAAAAATACAGGCATTTGTCCATATAACCCCGGAGTATTCCCCGACGATCTGTTTGAACCAGCTGAAACAACTAACAGAAAATCAAACAACGGAAACGGTGAAGAAGAAGATGCGCCAGAAAATGAAAGCAACACTCCTCCTGATCCCATAGAACGTACACCTTCACCTGGAACAGTTGAAAATATTCCACCACAGCCCAATGATGCAAATTCATCGCCGTTACCTGGCTGTTCTTATAAACAACAACAATCTCAGCAGTTATATTTCTCCCCACAGGACATAATGCCAATTCCAAAAGCTGATACGCAGAGACCAAAAAGGAACTATAAACGAGGGAAGACCATGATTCTAACTTCTACCCCTAATGTAGAGGAACTCAAGGAACACAATCGAGTGTGCCAATCAAGGAAGCCAAAGAATCTTGCTACACGGAAACTTTTTTCAGCTGCAAAAAAAGGGAAGAAGTTGAAGGTAATCCAAGAGTCGAGCTCAGATTCCTCTTTGCAAGAAAGTAAAGATCTATGTGATGACTCATTATCGAGTTGGAACGAAGACGATGTGGATGAAATATCAAAGCCTTTGCATCAATCCCTTGCTGTTGAGCAAGTGAACGTTGAAGATATTAAAGATGGAGATTTTTTAAAAGTAAAACTTGCTGATGTAAAAAGTAAAAGCACAAAAATATTTGTTGCTAAAGTTCAACAAATTGAGGATACAACAGTTACAGTCTCATTTATGCGCCAATATAGGCAAAACTTTGACACATACGTTTTTCCTGAGATACCTGATGAAAGTGAAATATTTTTCAGCGAAGTTGTCGGTCGTCTACTTAATCCTAAAATGCTTCGGCATGGCCAAATCAAGTTTGATATAAAGTAAATTTTTTTTCAGCATTATTTTTTGTGAATTTTTGCGTATTATTATTGACAAATACATAATTAAATTAAATATATTGCTCGCCATCTTGTTGTATCATATTTATTTAGTTTCTTCAGTTTGCTACTTAGAGTTTCACTTTGCCCCAGGTTGGTTTTCACTTTGCCCCTTATAAGGGGCAAAGTGAAATTCTTGCGTATGTTTACTAAAAAAATTATATTCCGAACAATTTCAAATTTTATGCCCAATAGATATATACCGTATCTAAGTTAATAAATATACTAAAAGTCTTGAAGATAAGGAACTCTATAAATCAAAAAATTAATTTTTTATAAGGTGGTCTTTCTTAAGGTGTCCACTTTGCCCCACGTTCCCCTACATGAGGAACCGAAAACGCATATGGTTGTTTTCGCGTGCACTATCGTACCTGTATTTTTCGCCTAGTTTGTACGAACCATGTGCGAACGTGGAAGTGGTGTTTCAATATTCTGTTTCAAGTTCGAAGACATGGCGTTAATTCAAAGTTCGATGAAAGGAATGCATGTGGAAGGCCTGCTGAAGTCAGTTTGGTCCACGTGGCAAGCTATTGGCAGAAGAATGGCGTTTCGAGGATTCTCGATTCGCCCGCATCGGATCATATGGTTGGATCGATTGACTGGTTGCGAGACGTGAAAAAATTGGACAAGCCAATGTTGGTCAATGTGGCTTCTGGACAGACGCTTGAGAGCAACTACTGTGGTGTTGTGAACATAATGTGGATGGTCGGAAATAGAAGATTGAACAGTGTGGTCGGCGAAGTTCTTTACGTCACCCGGACTGAGGCAGAATTTGTTTCCGATCCAAAGTGTCGGACTGTTGAGGATGAAAATGGTGTTCCGGAAGAACATTTCCGAGATTCTGTGAAATGGTGAAGTTGTTTGCACGCACGGGAAAACGAAAACACAAACTGTACGAACTGAACGTGGAAGTATTGCGAGCAGAGTTGGACTGGGTCACTGGGTCAACTGAGTCACCTGGGTCACTGAATTAAACTGGGTCACTGGGTCTCTGGGTCACGTCATACTCTTTTCAGTTAGACCCAGTGACCCAGTTTGACCCAGTGACCCAACTTGGCCCAGTGACCCAGTTTGACCCAGTGACCCAGTTTGACCCAGCGACCCAATTTCACCCGGGGACACAATTCGACCCAGTAACCTAGTTTGATCGAATAACGCAGTTAAGTCAGTGCCCTCGGTTCAAATGTACAGATTATGAAATAAATGAAATGCTGGTTTGTTGAAAATAATACTCGATTGCTTGACAACTGCCATTTCTGTGATGTTTGCTTTAATATTGCCGTAAAAAACTTTCCATGTCCCGAATTGTATTAGAATAATGTTATTTCTAAACAGTTCCCTTCTTCATTTCTTTGTTTCAGGGCTTACCAGTCTGCTTACAGGTGTTCATTCACATTTAATTTTCTTCTACTAGTTAGCTTAATCCAAATAAATCTTTTCTCTAAATACTTTCATTGACTACTTGACTACAAACTATAAACAAATGCATTTGATTTTTTAGGTATTAGTTCTCTTGAATGAAATTGGGCTACGTGCTTGTTGGCGAATATTATTGAGGAAGTTTTTTTTTAAATTAAAAGTTACTTGAAATTGTTTTGGATGATACCTAACAAGAATTTAATTACTGGGTCAAGCTGGGTCACTAAGTAAAACTGGGTCAAGATGGGTCACTGGGTCAAGCTGGGTCACCGGGTCAAGCTGGGCCACAGGGTCAAACTGGGTCACCGGGTCAAGCTGGGTCACCGGGTCAAGCTGGGTCACCGGGTCAAACTGGGTCACCGGGTCAAACTGGGTCACTGGGTCAACTGGGTCACCGGGTCACCGGGTCACCGGGTCACTGGGTCAGTAAACTAACTGGGTCACCGGGTCACTGGGTCACTCTATGCTTGACCCAGTCCAACTCTGATTGCGAGTGAAAGAGTCGACTGGCCCGATGTTTGAAGAAGCCATGAGCAATAGCGACCTGTGGTACGGGCGTTTTGGCCACATCGGAAAATGGTGGACAATGATATAGTGAAAGGCTCGGCGCTGAAGAAAGATGAATTGGTGGAACGAAAGATCTGCGAACCTTGAAGTGAAAGCAGACGAGGAAATTCTTCGCGATGCCTAACTTCACATAAAAACACTTTTATTGCCATCAAAATGCTTACATTTCCAAGCATTTATATTTATAAGTCAAGCATGTTTGTCCATAAAAATCGTAAATACTTTACCCAATTGAATGCTCATCGTGACTATAAGACAAGAAACTCTCATATCCTCACTATTCCCGTTCACCGTACGACCAAATTCGAAAAAGGACCATTGTACAATTGCATAAAAACTAAAAAGTTTTTTAGTGCACAATTGTTTTTATAAAACGGGCGATTTGTATACACTGTGATTTATATTAACCAACTGTGATACGAAAAATTTTTAATGTGTTTTTTAATGTGTTTTTGTTAATGTTAGTGACTATGTCTATGTCAATGTATATTGATCACAGGCAATAAACATATTATTATTATTATTGCCTCGGAGTACTCGATCCTTACAGCGATGTGTAAAGAGTGATTATTATTCTGCCACCGCCCCCTCCAGCTCCACCCACGTCCCCCTTATCTGTTTCTCCTCGCAGGATTGAGATATCCGAGGTGAAAAACCCAACATTTAAAGTATTGTAGTTGGAGGAGTAATTAAGTAATTAAATTAATATAATCATATGTATTCTGAGTTCTGAGAATTACCCGAAGTTTGTTGGTACTTGAGTGAGGTCGGGCAGAAAAATTTTGCGCGCTGATTTCCTGACAACGGCTAAGTAACAATAAAATTCAGTACCTTGGGGTACACTAAAGTTCAAAGAAGATTTATTACTATAGCTAAGCAGGATTACCTAAAGTTTTTAATTTCATTTAATAATAAATAAACTATAACAGTAAACCTTCAGGCACCTTCGCCATTCAAAATGGCTTGTATCTCTTGTAAAGTCTTCCCCGACGTTTCTGGCAACAAAAAGTATACAAAAAAGACCGCTACAATACAAAAACTGGAAAATAACCAAAAAGTTCCGTAAATTCCGATTGTCTCGATCACGACCCCGAAAATGTTTGTAATAATAAACGCCAGCAACCAACAAACCGATGCCGTTAGGGTGGAAGCGGCCGATTTGACGTTAGCCGGAAAGACTTCTCCTAGTACGGCCCATGGTAATGGACCGAATCCGGCAGAGTAAGAAATGTTATAGCAAATGAGACTTGCGATTGGTAACCAGAAAAGGTGGCTCTTTGCGATTGGGCTATTTTGGATGTAAAAGTATAAGCCCAGAAGAGCCATGGCGCACGCCATGCCTACAGCGGAGAAGATGAGGATCAATCGTTTTCCTGTCCGTTCGACAAGAAGAGGAGTTAAAGAGCCGGCCAATATCTGAACTACACCGACAATTATTGTTGATATTTCTGATGGAATCGTAGTCCCTGCTAGGAGGAAGATAGTTTGCGTGTAGAAAAGAACTATGTTTATTCCAGAGAGCTGCTGGAAACCTACCAAGCCGAGTGATATCATCAGTGCGCGTAATAAACCTTTCGACCTAAATAGGTCTATTAATCTACCCTTATTGCGCATAGATGCATTAACAGTGTCTTTGATTTCTAGAAGTTCCTTCTGCACTCCTAATCTAGACTTTTGGCGAAATTTCATTAACGCTTCTTCGGCATATGCGTAATCACCGCGGGATATTAAATAATGAGGGCTGTCTGGAATGAAGAGGAGAAAAATCGGAAAAAAGATCACGGATGGCACCACGCAGATGATATTAAAAACAGTTAGTGAAACATACGGTCCGATACAGTATGCGAATAAAATGCCGATACAGATGAAAAGGGCGAACAGTGAACCGAGCGCCCCTCTGTTGCAATCTTCGGCCACTTCGGCGACGTACATCGGTAAAATGGCAAAGACGCCTCCCATTGCTAATCCACATAAAAAGCGCATTAGATAGAATAAGTTGATGTCATGCGTGAATATTGCCATGGAGAAGGCCGCCATGAACGGTAACGTTGAAATTAGAATTGATTTCTTGCGCCCGATTGTATCCACGAATAACCCCGCGGCGAAAGGTCCCAAGACGGCACCGAGCGGTAACAAAGACCCCAGCCAAGATTGTTGGTTTATTGTTATGGGTGTGGACAGAGGATTGCTCTCCGGTTCGACTTCCCCATTTAATTTTGGAATGACTGGCGAAGTCCATCCTATTGCCACCCCACTGACAAATGAAGTGAGATTTGCTAAAAGAAAAAAGCACACTAGCGTAATACAAAAAAGACAAGACACCTACCTACGCACACGGCGATGTATAAAAATAATCCTTTTCCTTGCTCATCACCTTCATATAAGTTAATTTTCACATTGTCACTCAGTTTTTTCATGTTCTCCGATGGACACTGCGTTGATGAATGATCGTGTGCTGAAACTCGTTCATATTTCACGTCATCATGATGGTCATCCATTTTAATGAGTAGGTAGGTAATTAATTATTAGGTTCACACTAAAAAATATCTTGACCTTCAAGGTTCAAGCGAAAATGGTTTCAACGAGTTCATCTACGAATAATAAGTAAGTACCTAGTGGTTGTGGCATGTAAATATTGGCCGAAATCAAACAAAGACCTCTTATCTATCCTATCGTGGAACTGCTACGAAAGTATATTATTAGAGAAGCAAATAAAAGTTTTGATTTATTGTACTTCTTACGTCTTGCAAAGTTGATTCCATAATCCTACAAGTTTAGTGCTCATATTTTGCAAGCGTGTAAGTTATCATTTAAAACGTAACGTAATTTCCTTGCACTTTTTCTACATAAACTGTATATCGGTTGCCCATTTCACCAAATAGGTACTTATCAGCAATAAGAAGTGGACATCAAGTCTGATACGATTCGTAGAGATTGTTATTAAATTTGAATTAGTATTTAGACGAATGCACGGCAATTTTAAACAAACAATACGTAGTTTCACGTCCTGAACAATGACACAGATTTTGTAATCTGTGCCAATGGTAGTCGTGAAACGCACATAGAAATTAAAACGCATACGATAAACATAAGCAAGGACTGCAAATGGAAAAATGCATTCAGGACATTAAGTTATAAAGATCCCCACCCAGTTTTTGCATTTTTGCAAATTTATTTGTAAAAAGGTAGCTTTTAATCTTACTTTGGTCAGCTGGTTGGATGGCAGCAAGGGCCAATATAGAAGCTTGAGCTATGAGAAGTGCCCCAAAAATTGCATACTATTTTGTGGAGGGAATGTGGTAGCCCCCGACAAGATCTTACTGATGGTGGTATGGAGTCAGAACTTTAAATGCGCATTGAGGATGAACGAAACGTCGGACGCGGGTTTTAACTTCTTGTGGCTTGGAGAACCAGAATGTGGCATTCATTCATTGTTGGATTGTTCCTTAGACTCGCTCGTGAAGTAGTGCCCCCAGTTACAAATGAATCTAAAATTCCTAATCTTTTTCCCGGTAACAGCGCCTAAGCTCATGAGCACTTCCGATGAGTTTCGTTTTGTGTTCATCAGTGTGTATCCGCGGCACCATCTGGCACACACCTTGTGAACTTATAGTCCAAGCTAAATAGCTCTAAAACAATTTATTTTCAAAAAAAAATTAGTTACCGGGCGAAACCGGGTTTTTCAGGCAGGTGAAATGAATAGAAATTGGGGAAAAATAATTAAAACAGCTGAATTTTTCCGCGGGTGAAATTACGGGGGTTGAAAGGGGCGAAAAGTGGTGTTTTGCAAATTGTGGCAAAACTATTAATTTTAGACGAAAATGTTAAATGTAAAAGTTATGGAGATTAAAAATTGAACAACTTTTGTATCGAAACTATCTTCACATAACCTCCAATTTTCCTAGAAAAACCGGTAACACTATTTTTTTCGTTTTTTATTTTTTGCGAAAAAATGTCGTAGCGGTTTGAAACTTGGAGGAAGCCTGTTTTATGATAAAAAAAGAAGATAATTTTTTGGACTTGTAAAGTTGAACCGTTTCCAAGATCTCACATTTCGAAAAATGAACCACCAATTTTTCAAGGGGATGAAAAATCTATTTTTCATTGCAGAGAGGTACGCGGGGTAGTAAAATTTTCGTAACGACTTACATTTTAATAATCAAAAATATAAAAAATATTATTCCAATAGAAAAATTTTAAGAAAAGCGGCAAAAACGGGGGGAATAGGTAGTATTAAGATATACCGTTTTTGACAGTAGGTAAATAGCTTTTTTTGCAAATAAATTAACGCATTGGATCCGCGCTAATAAAAAGTTTTTGAAATCTGTCTTCTCTCTCCTCTTTAATGTTGATCAAATATTTTCTTTTATTTCCCAGTACCCAACTGCCTTAATTAAAACATCTTTACTGTTTCTTTTTTCTGCATTTTTACCGCAATAAAAGCAATTCGAAGTAAAATCGAATTCTTTTCCTTCCTGAACAATTTGTTTTTGTTCACGAACTCTTCTTCCTGCCTGTTTTACAGCTGATGGGATTAAGCTGGGCCTGTTGATCGTTAATTTACAGGAATTATGAATAAAATCCTCATAAAGTTTATTCCAGGTTTTACATCTCAAATCATTTGCTTTGGTCAATTGCCGGTAAAACTAACGTTCTTATTGCAGATTTTGCAAGTTTTCCAACGCAGTTGTATCAGCTATAAAACAGACAGGAAGAAGAGTCGGTGAACAAAAAGAAATTGTTCAGGAATCAGGAAGAAAGATAATCCCATTTTAGTTCGAATTGCTTTTATTGCGGTAAAAATGCAGAAAAAAGAAATAATAAAGATGTTTTAACTAAAACAGTTGAGCATAAGATAACAAAAGAGAATATTTAAGCCAACATTAAAGAAGCAAGAAGACAGATTTCGAAAAAATCTTTATTAACATCCAACATGTTGATTTATCATGTCAAAAACCGTGTATATCTTAAAACTGCTTTTCCAGTTTTTGGCGATTTTCTCGAATTTTTTTGCTATAGGAATACTTTTTTATTTTTGTTTATTAAAATATAAGACTTCCCGAAAATTTTGCAACCCCGCGCACCTCTGTACGATGAGAAAAAATACATTTTTATCCCCTTGAAAAAAGGTGGTTTTTTTCAGAAATCGTGAAATCTTGGAAACGGTTCGACTTTATGGGCCCAAAAAATTATCTTCCTTTTTATCATAAAACAGGCTATGTTTCCTCCAAACCTTCCTTTCAAACCCCTACGACTTTTTTTCGCAAAAATAAGAATAAAAAACGAAAAAAACAGTTTTTCCGCTTTTTCTAGGAAAATTTGAGGTTATGTGAAAATAGTGGAGATACAAATGCTCATTTTTTTAATCTCTATAACTTTTACATTGAACACTTTCGTCTAAAGTTAATATTTTTGCCACAATTTGCAAAACACCACTTTCCACCCCTTTCAACCCTCGTGATTTCACCCGCGGAAAAATTCAGCTGTTTTAATTATTTTTTCCCAATTTATATTCATTTCACCTGCCAACAATATTGCACCACTTCATTGAATCACCATAAATTGGATATTTATACATGGCAGTTTGGTCTATCAAGATCTTATTGACTCTCTCCACCCGAGCGCTTTTTTACAAGTTCCAAGAATATATACTCACATGACGCAATCAGACACGCACGCTAGAAACCTAAATGAGATTTTATCAATTAATTCCGAGTTCTGGTTGTTGAAGTCGAACCGCGAATCTTCACACAAACGCGAGGATCTTTCTTGCAAGCCAGCTAAAAATGCAGACTGCGAAATTATTGTTTCAAACATCGATATTTATACTTGGTCGCTCCCAAATTGGCATTGACTCGCACCCCTAACTTCTCAAAGAATTAAAATTCGCGTACCTAACGCAGCTCGCGAAAACCAGCTTAGGATCAAATTTTTACCGCACCCAAAATGATGCGTTTGGAATCACCCCCGTTAGAAAAACCGAAGCGGGCCTTCCTTTCTGAAGGTAACGACCTCGACTGGCGTATCTTTTTAAACGAGTAGTAAGCTTGCATTTTTGTTACGTGCCCTTCTTTAAATAGAACGGGACGAAACTCTTAGGTTCGAAGAGATCAAGGCAACCACGCTCGCTTTCCCCGATACGTTTTTCTTGTTATCGGTTCTTATCGTCAGACAAACTTTCGTTCACGTTCGCTATGAAGCGGTATATGTGTAAATTTCTCTATGTTTAACAAAATACAAATTCAAAACCAATTTCTGAAAACGGCTAAGCGACCACCTGTTACACTGTCTGTCTCGTTGCTTCTACATTTTTGGGTTGGGTAACGTAGAGATCATGACATCTAAACCCAAAAAAATCTTGACTTGATCCAAATGATCTGAATCATGGTAAAAAATGTCAAAATCGATTTTTGTAGATACCCATTTCGCTCTCAAATAAACGCGATTATCACCTAAAAAACCAAAATTAAGAAATATACGAGTAGCATCGTCACAACCACAAGTCAAATGGGGTATTAATCCACATTCACACAGTCTCACAAGCGGATGGTACCTTTGATTAGCGGACTCTTACCGCATGCAGTGGACTTCTGCAGTGGGAATATTCTTTCCCCGTTCCCACACAGGGTTAGAGCTTTGAATATTTATATTCAAAGGTTAGAGGGAGGACAAAAAAATAGCATGCGTCGAACCATTGAATACTAGAACGCATACTTAGACGTCTCCTTCATTGATAGTTAGACAAAAGATACCCGTGTATGAGATATTGAATAATATTTCAATTGGTCTACTTGAGCAACAGAAAAACCTCTATGAAACCATTTCTCAATACCTGTGGAATTTATATTGATACCTATACGATTACAAAACTATCTTGGCTGGCGATAGCATAGCATTGCTCAACGCGATGACATCTACAGCTAGGTGGAATGTTACGCCTTTTCATTATCAAACTCCAGATGTTATCATACCCTTTTTAAAGATAATTTGAAGAGGAATGTCACCGATATAATCTTTATGTAGTAAATTAAGTTGTAAGAGAGGTACGTACCAGTATCCAAGTATTGAGTTAGGTACTTATCAGTTGCGCTAAATCAATCAGGGATTATGATAACTAAGACAGGGTTTCCTTGCAAATTATGGCTTCAAAAATATTTGAATCCAAATTCCATTTGTATTTGCAAAACCTCCACGTAAAATATTATTTGTCGATTGTCGTTTGCAACGAGATACATGGTTGCAATGAGATTCAAAAGAATGTTTAATGTCTAAACGACGGTCAAGAAAATCCTACTTTGAACATTTTAGGGACTCAATAGTTATTTCGACGTATCCACTTGAGATTACCATGGCATATACACCCACAAAAGTAGGTTTTAACGTAACGGATTCCCTACATCCGATCGAAAGTTATGGCGTAAACGTAGTCGTTGTGCTGTCTGCGCATGCCCACATCTGATTTTTACAATATGCGATATGCTTGTCTTTACTAGAAGCGTCTGTGGTTAAAATTTCAAAAACTATCTCTATAAATAAAAAAGTTGACATTGTGCAGTCGCATATTAATCGTCAAGATTTTTCTTGACTCAGGTGCTAGAGCTATAAACTACACAATGCAAAAAGAACGAATTGAATATCTTGCAAACTGTAGTAGTAGTTAAGGCCTCGAAAGGACGGGCGGATGGGGAAAGTGGCCATACATGAGTTGGAAAATGCGCTAAAATGACATGTTTCAAAATCAGGCACTAGCTACAATTTGATTTTAAATTTTTGGTCAATAGTACCTAGTATTTATGTGCTTGGAATGCGGTTAAATAAACAGTCCCGCCCAAATTCTTGTTCTATTTCTTCAACTTTTACAAGATAGTAGGATGGGATACCCTGACCTTATCGAGCAAGGCGCACGCAAAGACACGTTGTAAGTACGCATTGAAAATCATTAAGTAAAGACGGGAAAAAAATAGGTTCCCAATATTTGGGTTAAATTAGAAAGGAACTGAATTTCTCTTCCTCGTCTGAAGCCTGCCATGCACGCAACAGTATATGCATTAGGTAGGTGTATGGCGGGCTTTAGTCGGTAAAATAAAAATCTTTTACCAGTTTTGAAGGTCGTAGGTACATTGTGCGTCACAAATGCATTTTGATGCGAATTAGTAACTACTGGAAACTTCCAACCTGAATCACTTACGTAAATTATTTATTATCGTTATCTTGGTTAAACAAGTTCAACTCGAGGATCAATAATAATATAAAAAAACACACGGGTGCTGCTTATTTGTTTAATAACATTTGAATTTCACTTAAAGTTTTGCCTTTCGTTTCTGGAACGTAATAGTAGACAAAACAAGTTGCCAAAAACAAAATAACTGCGAATACATAAAAGGTGATATGTCCACCAAGCCCCGAATTCATCAGGGGAAAGCTGAACGTCACGACGAATACGAATAACCAGTTAGTCATCACTGTAATTCCGCTACCCACCCCCTTAATTTCGGGAGCAAGCAGCTCGCTCAGTATCATCCATGGTATCGGTCCGAGTCCAAGTGAGAAAGCCACGATAAACAATACCAAGCTGCTCAGAGGAAGCATTCCGAGTCCGGCGAATGAAATTTTGTTGAGTTTCAGGTGGAAGTACAACCCTAAAGCCGCCACACATACCATCATGCCAATTGAGGACAGCATTAAATAAAATCTCCTTCCGCGTTTGTCGATAATCATCGCCGCTACGTAGGCAATAACGAATTGAACTATCGATACAGTTACCGCGGCGACATCGGATGACATACTCGTTCCAGCTGATTGGAAAATAGGCACCGTGTAGAAAATAACGGCGTTGATTCCGCTCATCTGCTGAAATAACATAAGGCCTAAAGCTGCGATCATAGCCTTGCGGTTTCCTCTTGAAGCTACTAAATCCTTTAGCCCCGCTTTCTTTTCTTCACTTGCTGCTAAGTTAGCCTCGATAACTTTCATTTCGTTGGATACGTTGTAATTAGGTCCTCTGAAATACCGAAGGCTCTTATCGGCATCAGTTACACGACCGCACTTAATCAAGTAAACTGGTGTGTCCGGCAGAAAGTACATGGCGATCGCAAACAGTATGGGAATCGCCAGCAAAACCCAGGACAGTCCAACCCAAGGGAGTAGCGCGCCAACGAGATAAGTCAAAAAAATTCCAAAGCACAGACACATTTGGAAGAATGATCCGAGTCTTCCTCGTACAGACACTTCCGCTATTTCTCCAATGTACATCGGCGCGGTAACGCAAACTGCCCCAGTTGCCAGTCCCGCGAAAAATCTCGCAATGTACAGCATCACTGCGTTTGAGGCAAATACTATCAGCAGCCAATTTATGATGTACGGAATTGCTATGAGCATGTTAATATTCCGACGTCCAATTCTATCGGCAATATATCCCCCGGGTATTGCAGAAATTAACGCCCCTATCGCCAGCATCGATCCGACAAGTGATCCTTCCGACTCCGTCAACTTGAAACCGATATCGGTCGAATTTAAGGTTGCATTTCCAAGCACTTGTGTAAGGTTCGTTAAAATTGTCTCGTTCAGGCTCACACCGCCGGTCGCATTCGTCATGTTCGATTTTGGTATCTGAATCTGTGGCAAAACTGGAGAGGTCCACGCCAAAACTGTTCCGGCACATACCGCCCCCAAAGACACTAAAAAAAATTAATTAACCTCGACCGGAAGTCAGCGGGGTCGACTTACCGCAGACGGCTCCGATGTATTGATTCTTTTTTTGGGCCTCCTCCAGCTTCACACTCTCTAGTAGCATTGGCTCGATGACCGAGTCCATCTTCTCCATTCTTCCCATATCACTCATCCTGTACTCACTAACTAGAAGTGAACTGCGATTCTCTACCGATAAAATTAAATAGTTGCTCTTATCATTATCTATCGATTCGATAGGTACAAATTCCTCAAATCGTCAAGCGAGGAGCACACTGACTCGAGGTATCACCCATTCTACGACGTGTGCATCGTATAAGAAGGTTAACATTCATTTTTTTCTCGTCGTAAGGACTTAGTACCATTGTTTGTCTAAACAAAGTGAAATGTTGCTAAACGGGTTTGTAAATAAAATAAACGCTCTTTATAAATTATATTGATATAGGTTTCATAATTTAATTTGCCAGCACGTCATTCTTTCTTTACGTAACTTGGAATAAAATGCATTTGCATCTTTAACATTCGGGGTGAAGAACAAAGGTTTTTCCCAACCCAAGTCGTTTTTTTACAATCAAAAATGTGCGCCATTTCTCCCAAAATTGATCGATTTATTATACTTGCATTATCGTTGCAGTAGGAAATAAAAAACTGAACACTCCTTTAATGATTACGAAAGGCCATGAAATCCGCATTACAATGATTGACTTTATAAACGACAATGAACTGCTGTCCTGTCTTTTTTGAGTTGGCGAGTTGTCGCGTTGGCGAGTTGTCCCATTGGCGAGTTGTCGCATTGGGGAGTTGTCCCATTGGCTAGTCGGTCGGTGGCGAGTGGTCCGGTGGTGAGTCGCCCTTGGCGAGTTGACCGTGTCCCTTTATACAATGCTAAAACAAAAAAATCCCGAGAAACAGTAGACGAGTGCCGCGTCGCTCGCACAGGTCTTTCGATGTCGAAAACTTGGAATTTTCACATCCATATTCATCCTAACAATTTAAAAGAAAAAATAAAAATGACATACTTGATGCAAGGTATTACAATAATTTAACTGTACTAAAGTATGTAAATATCTTTTTCTTTGTCATTTAAATTCAGGTAGATCGTATTTCGATCAACGGCGAGTGGTCAGAAAGGTTGTGTTTTTATTTACTTGCAATACAATTCGGTTTCTGCAGTGGCGCGTAACCATAGAAAATGTTTACGTGTGATGTTACAACTTTTACAATTACATCAGAGTATAGTTTGGTCAATTTTATGCAGTTAATCGTATAGAAAAACCTCAAACCCAAACTTCATAACTTTCTTAAAACATTTTGCTATTGGTGATTATTTTGTTGGATAGGTACATAGATTGGGGTGCAAATATTTTTATGCCATATGTTCTGAATGTCATTTTAATCGTGCATTAGAAATAAGAATGACAGATGTCATTAGAATGCACAGTCATCTGTTTCAGTTTATCTACCCTTACGATTAAAGAGTTGCTATTAACCTTCTTGGAAGAATAATATTATATATTATAAACTTCCTCGAAGCTTAATGTGCTACTTACATTCCTTGTAACTTAAATAACTATTTGTCTACTGAATCCAAATCTGTAATAAAAAAAAACATTATCGCATTTTTCAGGTTTCATCATATTACAGCTCTTTACAAAAGTCTCAAAATACTTCAAATAACCAAGATTTTTAAATTATTTTCATTTCGATCTAGTTATCCATGAAAATGGTAAAATGACCTTATTTGTTGTATAGTATCTGACAACTAACTTTGAAGTTTATTACATGGCGCTATTTAAGTTTATTTCATAGAAAACATGTTTTTTATATGTATTACCATTGATTGATTTCACCTGTTATTCTTGTTTTGTTAACAACCTACTATAATAAGTATTAAGTCCCAGTCAAGTTATTACATTAAATACTATTATGTATTTTTGTCCTTTTCATGGACAACTAGATTAAAATGAAAATAATTGAAAAATTTTGGTTATTTGAAGTATTTCGAGTATGGTACATTAAGAACTGTTGTAGAGAATTTAATAAGTTGTCATATGGTACCATAGTATACAGAGTGTTCGATATAAAAAATCACATGTTTATTATTATCTGAAAAATGCGATGCGACATTGAACATCCGACTGAAGTCGTACAAGATTTTATTTCCAAATCTCATCGTTAATCTAACATTGGGTTACTAAAAAAATAGTATCCTCTTAGGTAGATTTCTTAGTACCTGTTGAAATGGTACCAGTATATTTATAGGTTTGTATACATACAGGGTGATTCCTATAGTACCTGCCACCGTTTGGGAGCGTGTAGGTGGTGCGTAGGGGAGTATTTTGATATAGGACACTTGGGGTCGGAAATCTAAAATAAGGGTGCCAGAGCCAAATTTACCTTCTGGAATTTCGCGCCTGTAGGTAGGCAACCCAACCGGCCGGCGGTGCACACGGAGCGATCTCAGGCGGCGATGTGTGGCTGACACTTGATCAGAATTTTGTTTAAACCCACGAAATCCCGTCTGCAACGACGCGTATCAAGGAATAAACACTATGGCAATAGTATAATAATAGTTGGCTAGATGTAGGAAGTGCATTGAGAACAACGGTGGCCACGTTGAACACTTGTAAACGTTATTGCTTTTGACTGTCGTTTTCCCTCCTTCCCTCCCATGTCGCTTCCTCGCGCTAACTCGCTCTGCATCGCTCCGCGCGAAACGTCGGTCGGTTGGGTTGCCTACATACAGGCGTGAAATTCCAGAAGATAAATTTGGTTCTGGCGCCCTTATTTTAGATTTCCGACCCCAAGTGTCCTATATCAAAATACTCCCCTAGGCACCCCCTATACGCTCCCAAACGGTGGCAGGTACTATAGGAATCACCCTGTATATCGCTTACAAGAAACGCTCTAACCCGCCGTGAAGTATTTGAAGGCGTCTTTTAATGGAGATCGAAACGGTTGATTATATTTACCGGATCTCACTGAAACGCATCCCATTTTTTTGCGCATTTTCCAAAAGGATGCCATTTTCCGCACTTTGTCCGTCTGTACCACTAATAGCCGTCCAGTATAAGCCATTTCGTTGTGGTTTCTTTCTTATATAAGGTATAGTACAGCCCAGAGACCAGAACAACAAAATTTATTTGGATTGGTCACTTTCTTCCTGAGTTATTGCTGATTCTGTGCGGTGAAAATGAGCTTTCGTCGGTCGCGAGTTACCACGTTTGCCAAACTCATCCCAAAGTAAAAAACATATAAAGGCATTTGAATACAAAGCATATCTTCGGCTGGGTCCAACATAGTGACCCTTGTCAGTAGAATCCTTGTATATACAATATATTTAATAAAAAATTATATTAACATTGAGATCGACATGATTCATGTAAAATGACTAGATTTAAAATACTTAACAATTCAATTACATCTTTGGTATTCAACATTTTTCATGTAATTCGTTATCAAATCGTTGCACATTTTTATTTTAAATAATCTACGCTTAAAATAGCTTGCGTTTGTAGACACAAGGTACGGTAAACAGATAGGGATAAAACAAATATCGTGTGGTTGCGTTATAACAAATCATTCCAATCGAAAAATATATCACAAAGGCAAATCTGCTGCCCCACCACTGCTCCCATTGAACAACAAAGCGATCACTTGAATAAAAATCACGTGGTCAAAATTCCTCCGTTTCCGTGCACCCTCATGTGCCTGTTGAGATTTCCGCTCTGCGAAAATCGCAGCAAGCACAATTTGCACTCGTACGGTTTTTCGCCGCTGTGTATTCGAAGGTGTTTCGTTAAGGTGCTACTGTCCGAAAACGCCTTTTTGCAAAGCCGACACCTGTACGGCCGTTCTCCCGAATGTGTCCGCATGTGCGTGGTAACCGAAGACGACTGTGAGAAACGGCGATCGCAGACCGGACATCGAAACGGTTTTTCGCCGCTGTGTGTCCTAATATGGGCGGTTAGATTTGCTGCCTGAGAAAATGATTTGTTACAGTCAACGCATCGGTATGGTTTTTCTCCTGAGTGGGTCCTTAGGTGTGTTTTTAGCGTACTGGGACGAGCGTAGCTTTTTCCTAAAACATAAGCATTGGTTAAGACGATTTAGAAATATTAAGCTGTTATCGATACTACAAGTTTAGAAAAGGTCAGTTATGACTCTACATCAAAGTCTACAAAAGTTATAGAACTTGTCTGTTATTTTTATTGTACATTTTCTTATAGCGCCATTTTTTTCAACAATCGCAACTGGACTGCTCCAGATTGATAAGACATTCAACAATCTACGGCCCTTTCCAAATAAATTAAAAATTTTGACATTTTGATGCAATGCTTTTGAATGGTAAAAATCATTGATGATAGTGGTATCTAGAGACAAAAGCTTTGTGTAATGGACTATGACATTTTTTAAACATGCAATTTCATCCGAATCATCAAATAAGAACTGACACTCGTGGTTAGCCATTCCAAAGACATTGGAAACAGTCGTTAGTGCGTTTAGAAGGCGTGGAAGGTCCAACAATGAATCACTAACTAATCATTAACAGTCGTCCCCCGTTAGCAAACAGTGCTGGGTAGTGGGTATTCAATGTTTAAAAAAAGTAGTAGTACAAAAGACACTAACCAAAAAAAATATAAACATCGCAATTTGTGGGTGTAAAAAATTTACTTAGTAATTAAAGAAGGGATTATTTCAGAGTTGGAAAAATAGATGGATTGAGTCTCTGAGCGGGCAAGGAAAGATCACAGGATTTCAGTTCAGGAGAGAATTTGGATTTTCGGTTTAAAGAAGGTTCGAGGTGATTGGTTGGTTTCTGAGCGATAGTTTTGAACAACATAGGGCAGTTTGAGAGAAGTAAAATTGTAGTGTAAAATTTTGCGAAGAGTTTTCAACTGGAGAAGTTGCGTTTTTATTTACAAAAAAGGATTAATTATGTGATCAAAATCAACTGAAGAGGAAAATTAAAATTCTTTAAGTGTAGAATTTCAAACCTATAAATAAAGACTTCCTTTGAATACGGGAATAAAGGTACTGATCCAATGAGTTCATCATTATGCGTTAAAAAAACAGTGTCGCATTCGTGCCGTATTAACACAATCGCGGGAGCCGTTTAATTAAAGAGTACATAAGTGTGGAGAAAGTATAACTAAAACTATCGATATTTTCAACAATAAACTTATGTAGTTCAATGGGTATACCGAGGGCATTTTCCTTTGAAGTAAGTGGGTTTTTATCTTGTCGATGGTAATACGGCGAGCTTTAGTTATCTTCTCACCCAGCGACGTCGGAAGTGAATAACAGTTGGGGGGGGGGGGGCAAAAATCAGCGACCATGGAGTCTGAAAGGTCCATCCCATGTAAAATGGTGTACGAATTAATGCAAATCATTGGGTTTTTAAGTGAACCTGAAACCTGTTTATTTAATCAATCAAATAACGTATTTTTGAAAGAAAAGTTTTGAAAAAAATTTAAAAAAGTGTCGGAGGATGTCTAGTGATATGCAACTGAGCAACTCAGAGATACTTGACGCGATTGAGAAAACCATAGCCATAGATCATTAATATTTTATTTAAAAAATAATGAACAACTAGAACATACAAAAGTTACAAACATTTTGTTCCTTTTTAATGCACTATTGAGTATTGTAAAAAAAATAGCAAGTATAAAAAATTAAATATATCCAAAAATTTTCCGCTTTTCCGCAGTTTTGCTGGCAAATTCTTTCAATATATCCTCTACTTCTACAATTTTTGTAATTTCTGCATGCATACGCAGTAGAAGATGTGTTAGTCGCTTTTGAGTGATTTATCTACTCATTCTTATAGGGGACGCGGCCCCCATTGTGTAAAAACTGAGGCGACGACTCGCCCCGTCTGACCCATACTTCCGACGTCGCTGTTCTCACCCGTTCGGCAATGAAGTATTTGTTGTAAATTGTGTCTGTAACCCCACTGTCTGGCTTTGGTGTTGAATTACACGTTGGAAACAGGCCGTATTAAGTAACTTATGCAACGTTGCAAATTGAGCGCAATTTGGAAAAAATAAACTGAATTCGCAGATTCAAAAGCTCCGAACCAGCCCTGAAGACCAGATGAACCAATAAAAATTAACATCATCTCCACCATTACTATTTCACCATGAAGTAGGCGTTAAAAAATGACATAGTAGCTAGTGAAGGAATTAGTTTTGCACGAGATTCAGGCGTTCGAATAGCAGCAGTGGATCTAGATAGAGATTGGAAAATTAGCGTTTTCGTAAGGTCCAGAGCGTTTGGATAATTGAGCTTAGAAAAAACACAATTTTAAGTAGATTCAAGGCGGCCTTGTGGTCCATTTTAGCTAGTTGGTTTTTTGTTGAAAACTCATTTGCCCAAGTGGAAAAAATTTCGTGGTGACAAAGGCCATGTGACATTTTTGGAGCATTATAAAAAAGCGTAATTGTGCGAACAAGTTGTGATCGATAGTTATCAAAAAAGTGGCAGTTCACGAGAATCTCGAGGGTGTTGAAATCTACACTAAGGGATATTTACGCATTCCATTGTGGAATTAAAAAAACTCGTAGTCCGCGAAGCACGCGTTTATAAGCGATTTCCTTAAGAAACTTTATCGCGTATTTGGGCAGTTGAACACAGTTAAAAAGGAAGTTTGAATTTCATTCAAGTGATTCACGGGACTTACAAGAAGGAAACTGTTCGTGAAATACATAATAACTAAGTTCGGTATTAGTGGCGCTAATGGAAAAGGCCGTTGAGTGTAAAAGTTCACTTGGGAAATTGTTAAATCAAGCTTTAAATACAAATCCATTTAATTTGAGTGTGTATGCAAACGAACTTTTCGGAACAAAACTATACTGATCAGCAAAAGAATTATCATCAGGCGCAAGCCTGTATTTCCGAACCAACTGTCAAAAATCCAATCTAAAGATCAGAGGTTGTTTCAAGCCGACAGGAGACCTTTGAAAACATTGATATGTACCCTAGATTGATGAGAAAAAAAAGTTCACCGTCAAAACTCCAGATCTCCACGTCGAAGAAAAAATTGTAAATAAGAAGAGTAGTCATATAACTCTATTTTTAGCGCATTTTTTAAGAATTAAAAAAAAATGTGCTATTGTTTGCGTTTTGTCCGTCCGTCCGTTCGGATCCACTTCTGTGGTACTTCTAGGGGAATGGTTCTAGAGTCCTGGAATTGTTTGCAGTAGGTAGCCTATATTTTGAAGGTGTGCCAAACGGTCATCCAATTTCGTTGTCTAAAAGGGGGAGCCCCTCCACGAATTATTTCCTGAGATGCTGTTTTTGAAAGTAAAACGTGCATAACTTTTACATACGACAACCAATTGGTCTCATATTTTGCATACGCATGTCTTTAGTGGTGCCAAGTTAAACTTTGGAAAATTTGGGGGGGGGCGGGGGTAAACACATGTTCTACCCTTCATGGTATTCTAATGAAAGGTCTACCAACCATAGCCCTCCTCCTCGACATCTTATCGTGATCGGGTATATTTCCTTATACCTCAAAAACGGATTAACGGAAGAGGGTACTCACAAAGGGCGATTGAGACGTCTGCAAGGAATATATTCATTAGTGATGTCAAAACAAAAGCTATTTCGGTTTAAAAAAATGCGCTTTGTCTGCACAAGAGTTCAGCTTTAACTGAACTGCGCCACACGGGCCGGCAGATATGCGACATGTTTATCTTTACTATAGTTAAAATTTCAAAAAATATCTATATAAATAGGAAATATCTTGAAAACTGTAGGAGTAGTTAAGGACTCGGACAAACGGACGGACAGAGAAAGTGGCTACAATAGCGCACCCAACTTTGTTGGAAAACGCGATAACAACAAAAAACTAATTGGTGATAATTTTTGACACTTTTCATTCCACCTGATAAGGGCCCAAGACGTCGAGTCCTACAATAATTTATTACTTCCCGAGACAAAAACACACATATTAACAAACATACAAAGTCAGCATAAAACCGGATTTCCTTAGTGAAATGTGCTACAAACAAACTATTAAAATTTTGACCCATTTTCGAGCCGGAATGTGGGACTTGTTGAAGGTTCTTCTTACAGGCGTAAAATGCATGGTCTTTCTGTGCCGTAGGTATTCAACTAACTTATAGAAAGAAAAAGAAAGCAGTTTGAATATACAAGCATTTCAATAAAATTGAAAACTGAAGCGCACGTCTTAACATTCTTTGTCAAAAATAAAAAGGAAAAATTAAAGTTAGTCAAGATTTTTTGTGTAAAGATGAATTCCAGTTGATTTTAGTCGTGTGAAAGACGGCTATTTTAAAGGAAAGAAAAAATGGATTAAAATTTAATTAACTTTCGTTTTCGTACGGCTTCACCGCTTCAGAATCTGTACCTACACCATTTAGGGCACTCGTATTATAGGGCGAAATGGGGTGACGTAATGTAGTTGATTCGTAAAGCAATAGAGTAGCACTTACCACAAATCCGGCAAACGTTTGGTTTTTGGCAATCGTCCTCCATGGGATTTTGAAAATGTTTTCGTCTAGGCGAGCCAAAAGACACAGAAACTGGTTTATATGAGGCGGAAATGACGGGACCGTCTTGTGGCGGCCTGAAATCCGCCGTAAACGAGTAGGTAGCACCCGCGTAACTTGGACTTAACAATCCTTGCGAATTGTAGCCGCCAGGTACGGAAACTTGAGGCGCCGAATTCCACTGAACCTTGTAATTAATCGCTGATTATAAACTAAATTATTGATATGGTTTTCGTCTCCTACCTGCGGGCAGGTTATTTCCGCCGAAGGGTAATTGCTGTTGGGATGATAACCGTGCATCGTCATGTTCATTGAGACGTTCACGGACATGCTTGGAAACATCGGCGGCTGCTGAGGGAAGGCTTGATCACAGAAACTCCCGCCGTATCCACCCGGCGAAAGCAACACCTGCGGATGGTACATTTGCTGTTGCGGATCGTACTTTTCGGTCTGACCGGGATGAACGACGGCATGTTTCAGTGAAAGTAAAACGTCGGCCATATCAGCGGAAGGCGCCTTAGTATCTTTCGTTATAGGCGAAGAATTTTGTAACGCTTCTTCTGTTCTAAAAAGAAACGATTACTCTAAATATTACTCGATTCCGCCTTCAAACTCACTTAAACAAACCGTTAGCACTGGAACAGGGCGAAAATGGGAATAGCGTCGGCAGCGGTTCTAAATCAAGCGGTAAAGTAAATGAGCCCATATCTTCAGGCCAGCAGGAGGACAGCTCATCTGGACAGGAACTTTGGCATGAATTTTGACAAGGTTGTACTCCGGTGGTCCAGTTACATTCGAGTTGCAACCCAAACTGGGGGTTGTTCGGGATGTAGCTGGCATCCATATTTTGTGAATGTCGAAGGTGGTGCAATCCTGCGCACCTGTTGGAGATTGAGTTTGATATAATTTTTGCGAGATTCATCTCGACGGGCGCAATTAGGAACTAATTAAAAAGGTGTAATATAATACTTGACGACCTCTCATGAGAAAAGTAAACTCAATTAGTCGGAATTTAAGCCTTTCTTTGTTGAGATTTTTCTTGGTTTCACGTAAAAAGTCTCAATCGAGGCGAAGGGTGTGTTGATATCTGCTACTTACATGTTCATTCTCACTATGATGAATTGCATTGTAGGAATCACCAGTTAATTGAAAGAGGTTTGATGGATTGGACAGAATTCCCTTCTTTTAAATAAAGACACTACTTGGATTTTTATTGATTAATAAGATGGTTAAGCTCTAACTAACGGAAAATTTAAATACCCAGAAATATTTACACCGGTTAATTGCTCTAAGTAATGCCTCCGAACTTTCGCACTCAAGAAAACTCGCCCCCATAAGTACAATTCGCAAACTCGTCCTTGGAGTTCGATCTCGGGAAGTTCGAGACTTCTGCAAGCCTTTAATAGCTTTAACTAATGGCAAATTGAAATATTTGTGGTCTCGGAAATATTTAGATCGGTCAATTCGCAGCCAACAAAACTCGCCACCAGGTTCCGCCGGAATATTTTTTACTAGAAGTAGTACGGGACGTTAGCAATGTAAAGAAAAAAGATGAAGAACTAGGAAGAATATGAAGAAAAAATCAGGGAAATAAAAACAGAGAAGTAGGTACTTTTGGAAGATTATAAATAAGAGGAACAAGTGGGAGAGAAATATAAATAGAGGACTGGAAGCAGCACTTTAAGGAAAGGAGGAAAGCGATAGAGGAGGAAGGGAGAGAGGAGGTGGAATGAGACGAGATTTCAAGAGAACAGATTGAGCAGCAATTAGAGACCGAAGAAAGGGAAAGCGGCAGGAAGTGATGAAATAAGAAATGAGGCTTGGGTTTTCCTTACAGATAGTTTCAAGGAGAATGACAACAGCCTACAAAATATATGCGATGGTCTTGAATAAAAGGTTAGAAAGAGAAGTAAAAGAGAAGACAATGCTAAAGGAAACACAAGGGAGGGGAACACTCGACTGTATATGTGATTTTCACTTATTGTTAGCGTAAATGTGGCCAATAATTTTCTTATCTAGTTAAGCTCAAGCGTGTATTACGGTTACCGTCGTACGTAAGGTAGGTTACGGTAGGTTGTGTTTGATCGATCGTTTCTTGCGTGGTGTGTGTTATCTGGCCCTGAGTGCCTATATTTCTTGCAGCAGTTGAAAGGTGTTCGCGTTTTTCGTGAACTTAAAAGGTAGCGTTTGACGGAGTGGAAAAAAAGTACGGAAAATCATTGAAGATGGGGAAATTGGCAGGAAGTTAAAGGACTGAAAAACTGAACTATATGGACAGAAAAAATTGAAGGTAAGAATAGAAGGAAAGGAGTCTGAAGTATTTCGGGCATGTAAAGGACTAAGATCGGGATACCCACTTAACTCAACCTTATTTAATTCTACTTAAGAGACATGGAAAAAGTATTAAGGCAGGGCCAAAGGGGAGAGATAGTAGTAGGAAAAAGAAAGATATGGTCCCTGGCGTACGCGGACAACGCCGTGATTATGGCAACAGTAGTAGAACAAATGGAGAGGTATTGGGGAAGAAAAATTACGGAGTTAAATGTAGAAAAGTGGAAGATAGTGAGATTTGGGAATGGGAAGAAAAGGACGAATCGAGAATCGAAATGGAGGGAGGAAAGAATAGAAGAGGTAAAAGAAATGAGTTTTTAAGACACCAAATACAAGGAAACCATCGGGCAAATGCGCAGATAAGAGAAAAATGGGCGGCGGTGATGAGACAGGCGCGTGGAATTGGAGAGAGGGAGTTCAAGAATGATTTTAGAACAAAAAAGTACCTGTACGATACGATGATGGTGCTCAAATACGGAAACGAGATATGGAGGTGGAAGGAATAGGAGAAACTGGAAGAAATACAAAGAAGATTATTATAATGGGTATTAGGATTAAACGGAAGGACACGGGAAGGCACTAAAATGGAAAAGATAAGGATAGCGTCGTGACGCAGGGCAGTAAAATACGAGAAAAGGGGCAATAGAGAAAGAAAAATTGCAAAAGAATGTTTGAAAACGAGGATAAACACAAAAAGAATGTGAGAAGAACAAAGAGGAAAATATTACGAAAGAAATGGATGAGGTGGCAGGAGGAGAGGAGTAGGAAAAAAGATGGAAAATGAGCTCGCAAAAAGGGATCTGGATGCAAATACAACAGGAAGTGGTAGTTAGAAAGGGAATGGTTACCAAAATATTTGTAAGAAGGAAGAAACAATACTAAAATAATAGTGAGATTCAGATGCGGAAATGAAGAAAGATTATATTTATGTGTACAAATTTAAGTCGATCGGATTTTATTCGAATCCGCTCTACCAAGTCTATTTAGTTAAAAAATAGCGATTCCTAAACCCGCCAGCAAACCAAGTTGCATTATTCCAAGGGAATACTTCTAAAATGACTAATAATCTCCAAAAAGCTACTAGAAAAATCATAGCAGCATCTAGGAATCCGTCTCGAATCTAAAGAATTTAGGAACTACTTAAAGTATCTCAGAAGATAATTTGAAGAATGTTCTCTGGAGAATGCATAACTTTGTCAAAAATATCTTGCAGAAGTTTGAAGATCTCTTCTAATTATGGATACAAGAAACCCGTAAAATTTTGCTACAAACCTCTATGCGCATTCGTTGTATGGTTCAGATTGTTAAATTTCTTGGTTTCTCTCGATTTTTCGGATTTTTTACTTTACTTCGAAAAGTCCTCCATCTCTCCTTGCATTCTTTGATAAAAAAGAGTTCCTGCTCTCAGCGTGTTTTTTTTAAATTATCAGGGGCTATCTTAAAGAGATAGAAGTTGGTTAAATGAGGGTAAAGTTGGGAATTTTCGTGCTGAATAATAATCTGAAAACAAATTTAAAATATCTTCAATTGTTTTGAAAATATCGAAAAAAATGTGACACTGAATCGTAAAAGAGAAAAAATTTGCTAAGGCTAGAACAGATGCCACCCGCCATTCTGCGCATGCGCGATTCGGCCCTTTCATGCCTAAGAATATGTGTACCAAATTGGTTCCATCGGTTCAGCTGTTTAGCCGGAAATGACCGTTTGACACATTTGCGCATGCACGATTTTCCGCAGCTTTTCAGCTCTTCCAACATGTGTATCAAATTTGGTTTAAATCGGTTCAGCCGTTTAGCCAGAAATTAGAGTACAGACCAACAGATCGACAGACCGATCGACATCGTAGAGATTTTGTTTGGTTCTGATTGCTGGTGCTAAAACGTGTATTTTCGTCAAAAAAGTGAGGGGTCACTTTTTACGCCAATCGCAGTACGTTCCTTACTGACGTGCGGGTAGTATAACAGGCGCAATCTCATCCAAAACCGTGTCCACGAGAAAAAATAAAGTTGCCACGTGTTTTTTCGTCATCTTGGAAATGATTAAAAATGAATTGAAGGTGTTTTTAATTGCTTTTTCGGATTATCATTCAGCACGAAAATTCGTAACTTTCTATCATAACCGAGATCTCATAGTGGCATTTGAAAATGTTCTCCTTGTATATTGATTACTACTATTACTATTCTTTAATTTGCTGTTTTAGTTCATTGTGTCAGAAGACACTTGAAAAAAGGTTTGTGAGTAGCATGTGACAAATGCCAAAGGGCACCTGACTCGACATATCTTAATGACATCAATTTTCTGTCACTTACAACCTGCTGGTATTAAAGAGATAACCTATACAGAGTTTGCCTATTGACAGCGCTCCTTTTTTTAAGTGTAAAAATGTTGAAATTGTTCGCTTGGAAAATATTCTAGACCTTTAAAACGAAATGATATTTAGAAAATCGTGTTTAAAATATACATATACAAGAACACTTGTCTCTTGTTGTTCACGTAATAGAAGAGTAACTTAGTTTGCTGCACTGAGAGGTAACAAATTTCGGACAAGGTATTCTCTAACGTTATAAAGCAAATCCTTAAGGAACTATATGAAAGGTTACTCAATCATCCTTAAATATTTACTATAAACGAGGGGGTTGGATATTTAATTTAAAATACGAAAATTAAACTAAAAACATCTCAACGCAACATCGAGTTCGACGACTACCAAAATAACCTTTACAGGCTTCGGAATCCTTACTATTGCCCTATTGTGGCTAATTGGTTGCTATACGGACTAAACTTCGTCAAAATTTTCAACTTGAACTTATTACATTAGAATTTTATAAACGCTGCACAGAATTGATCGAAGGAACTGTGTAGAAAAACAATTCCAATATATCCGGGATATTTGTGAAAAATAGGCTCGCCGTCGTCGGAAGAAGGCCTCAATGTCTCATACATAGACAATATTCAATTATGGTAAACTAGAAACTTTATTCATTCCAGAGGGTGTATCAGTATGGTTTACAACATCAAAGATAATTGATTAGTTTTTGTTGAAGAAGAACTTCATATGTTGTGTTTGAGTATTCACATGTAGACATGGAGAAATTAAAATTGAAAATTGAGACTCAAACATTTTTTATTTCTAAATGCGATCCATTTCGACGTACCACGTCATCATCAGGCCGAGCTGGAAAATTTACATTAACTACGAAGCTTAGTTTTTATTATAATTTTGAATAGTCGTAACGGCCGGTCGGATAGACGACTCAGAAGATAAACACTTAATACACTTCTTAATGAATTATGATTATGGAAGATGAGCAAGCCAAAAGCCAAACAAGGCAGAGAAAATGTTAATGAACCATAACATCAAAACAATATTTTCGACCCTCAAGAATCTTGGAGGGATGTTTCAGAACTGTGAAAGACAAGGATTTTATATTTTGAAAATTTGTATAGCATCAGAATTAAAGCGCACACCGCGACGCAATTCTGATAGGCACACATACCGAATTGATTAAACGCCTCTCTTGCTTACGTAAAGCTGATGTAATAATTACAC